AAAAAGTGTACGCATGGGCTGAAAATTAGAATTTTGCTGAAGCTAATGAGCTGAAATCAATTTACAGAGCACTAAAATCGAAAGGAACTACAATATATTAGTTCAAAGACCACGAAACCAAAATTCATTTTAATTTACGATTTTAGACGCCAAGCATAATAGCATTAGAAACACAATATTGGGATGGCAACTAATTAGCCACATTCATAAGGAAGGCAATTCTAGTGTTGATTACTTGGTTCATAAAGGATTTGAACATAACTATATTAGTTCATACAAGACTAATTAAGCTGTAATTCCTAATAACGGTGGCTTTGGTTAGGCATCTTTCGTATGTGTGCAGTGTATCAGGATTTGATTTGCAATTGTTTAGCTCTATCATTGAAGATGGCATAGTGCCAGGATGAAACGTGTCAGATCTATATCTGCCCATACTGCTAATATACTACACAATTATTCTGCAACACACACATTTTTTTTTTATGAATCACAAAAAAGAATATTGTGAACTGACTGAAACCCCAAATGGAAATGGGGGAGGTTTATGGTGTTGGATTTATATGAATCAATCATGGATCCTTTTTTCCCCATGTCAATCAGATATCAATATTAGTGGGAATGGTGGCCAATCACTTCGGTATCTCGTGTACAACATAGGATTGAAATTGATTGAAATTTGAAAGTCCAATCTTCAATGGTTTCTCCTGAATTATAATTTCCAAAACTGATAAATGTAAATCAATGTGGCCGAAGAAAAATGTTACATTAGCAGACAGAGTTGAGAGGAGCATTTAAAAGATTTTCAGTTGTTTTTATTTTATTCAAGATAAGCCCCCAGGGAATGGTCAGACAACATAGTTAAAAGAGAGACACTAATAAAGAACGGTAGTCCGTATGCAATCGGACTCCCAATAAAAGAACCTGTCTTGCCACGAGGTGGGCAATTCTGTTGAAACTCCGAGGAGCAAAGTGACACGAAACTGAGAAAAAAAAGGGAAGAAGAGGATGATAAGTATATTGACTTTCTTGTTGGTCGAAGATATCCTCTGATCTCTTACATTCATATTATTTTTTGTAGCGATCCCATATTAAGATAGTAAACTAACTATGTATGATTTACCCTGTTTAGTTACGAATTAAGGATAGATCTGAATTGCAATTGCCTGGACATGCAGCTTGGGGACAGCTTGCCACAAAATATGATTGAAGAATGAAGGCCTTGATTTTGGTTTCTGTTAATGATGTTTCTATTTTAAGGCCTTACTTGAAGACACTACTCTTCCCAACTTAACAGGTTCTCAAACACTTATTAGAAACTTAAGATATATACAAAACTTTTGCTTGGTAACCTAGGACTCTCCTCGTTTCCCGCTATTTTTTTATAATGGCGAAATTTATTGATGAAAGACAAAACAAGTAAAAAAACAAAGGACAGGGGAAGCAAAGGCTCATGAGGAAAGAACGAGTTTCCCACACAGTACAGATAGAAACAATAAAAAAAAAAAAAAAAAACAAAGAAAAGCTTAACGGACTGGAAACCGCTCCTGCCAAGGAAGAAGGTAGAGACAGCTAGTCAGACTGGACCGACCCTACTGTAAAACACACTACATACATTAGACATCCAAAACACACATCAGACATCAGATATCCAAAACACAAAAAATTAAGATAAAAACTCAGCAAGCCAAGAAGCAGCATGCTCCTTGTCGATCTTAAGATGAGCAGTAAGCCAATACACAACCATCTTGACTGATTTCCGAGCAATGATCATGGCAGCAGCACCAGTATTTTTGAATATCCTCTGGTTCCTCAGTAACCAAACTGACCAGAATAAAGCATGAAGAATACTGACGTTGAACCACTCATCGATGCTGTTGGGGGACAAGGAGGGTCTATTGCCAATGACAGAAGATACATCTCCTTGCAAATTACCAATGAAGCTCTTCTTTCTCTTGATAATACTCCAAGCGTCTTGAATGAACTCGCACCTGGTGAAAAGATTATATGCATTTTTCTCTTCATTATAGCAAAGAGTGCAGCGGTTTGCTAGATGCGTTCCTCTTCTCTTAATAACGTCCATCATGAAGATCTTTTTAAGCCAAAGAGTCCACATGAAGAAACAAATTTTGCTAGAAATGAAGGGCTTCCAAATAGATGATGCTTCAAAGTTCTGAAAGCCATGGAATTTCTCAATGATAAGCTGATCATAGACTGAGCTAACAGAGAAACCGTTTTCTGGATTTGGTATCCAAGTGACCCTGCAAGGACTATTAGAAGCAAGATGCAAATTTCCAGAATTTAAGTATATCAAAAGCCTTTCTCTTTCTCTCTCCGCTCCCCCTCTCAAGCTAACTCTCAAATTAAGGTTCAAGGTTACCTCATTATCAGTGAAGGAGGCTATGTCAGCGATCCGAGCAGCAGGTTCGATAGCAGCAGCAACAACTCTTGGGTAGTCAATAGTGAGGATCGAGTTCGACGTCCAATTATCGTACCAGAAAGAGATATGGCCACCACTTACTGGTTCAATATGTGTATATTTCCAAAAGAGAGGGTATTCCTTTGCAATATTAGCCCAAACAGAACTTGAATATCCAGAACTAATCTGAGCAATCTGCCAATGGGAAAGGTTATTCGGATACTTCATATTGATCAATTATCTCCACCAGCTATTCTTCTCAGTAGCAAACTTCCAAAGCCATTTAACAAGGCAGAATTGAAGCAAGCTAGATCACAAATTCCTAATCCCCCTTTAGATTTAGGAGTCTTGCACTGGTCCCATTTCACAAGAGGAGATTTTCGACTGTCACTGTTTCCATTCCAAATAAAGTCCCTCTGTATAGCTTCCATGTCCTCAATTACTTTCTTAGGAGCTTTAAGTAAAGAAAAGTAGTAAACAGGAAGGCTGGTGAGAGCTGATTTATTAAGAGTGAGTCTTCCTCCTGTTGATAAATACTTACTTTTCCACCCTTCAAGGTTCTTCCTGAAGTTAGCTATAATTGGCTCACATATTGATGTTGCATTAGGTTTAGCTCCAAGAGGATACCCAAGGTATTTTGGAGGATTCGTGCTCCATATGCAACCAAAAATATTAGCATAGAAACTCAGTTCTGGAACATCTCCTACAGTATACATAACTGATTTCTCAAGATTAATCTTTAGTCCAGTAACTGCTTGGAAACACACCAGAGTGGACAAGATACTGATAACCTGTTCATGGGAAACATCACAGAATATCAAAGTATCATCCACAAATAAAAGATGTGTCACCTCACCTTGCTGAAGTCTTTCATTCATGAAAAAACCGCTGATTTTATTTTATGCTTTGAGTTTAGATAGCATGAATGATAGAACATCCATCACCCGGACGAAAAGTGCAGAGGAGATGGGATCTCCTTGGCGAAGACCCTTAGACGTTGGAAAGAAACCAAAAGCTTCTCTATTAACCAGAACAGAAATGAGAGGGGAGCACACTGCCTTTTCCCGCTAATTTAAGAATAGGATGTTATCAAGATTCAAATGGTGACTAGACCTTTTAATAAAAAACAATAAATTTAAGTCAAAATGAGGAATATGGCCCTAGGATGAGTAGATATGGCAAAAATATCCGTAATCGTGGATATTCGCCCGAATCCAACCTAATCAGGTAGGGTAAAATTCGAACTCGAAGGACTTTTAGTGGGTACGGGTAAAATTTAAACCCGAATATTGCGAGTAATGGGTGGGCATGATTTTCTCACTATACAACTCGAACCCGCCCGATTATACATATGCATATGTATTTTGTCAAGAAATAATCATTATTTATCTTTAACATATTTTATATTTAGCATATAAATATAATATTTTCATGAAATTGTGTTGTTTTAATTAATTTTTTTCATTCTAGTGAAATATTGTCGTACTTTTTCTCTTACGTAATGTGAGTATACGCATGAATGTTATCATATTGGTTGGCGTTATAAAGAGAAATTATTACCCATGGATACTCGAAACCCGAATGAGTATGGACATGGTTTTGATTTTCTACCCGTTTCTCATGTAGGTATGGGTATGAGTAAAATCCGAACTATTTTGGGTAGGGTATCGAAAATGCACTATCCGCCTGTGACAGAGATTGTGTTGTTGGATTGAAATTTAACTCCCTGACGTTCACTCCTCTCATTTTGTTTGAAATATATTATAATTTTGATCTCTTTTCTTACTTTATTTGAGCAGCGTATTCTAATCGTCGCTCGAGCGAGCTACGTCTTTCCTTGAATAGACATCTCTCAATAGAATATCAATTTTCCTTAGCTACATTGTGCCAATTGTTAAGAGAAATAAAATTAAATAAAAAGTACGCACACCCTACTTTCTTGCACATCAAAAGAGAATCTTGCAAAGCTTCAATCTTTTTTCTTAAATTTATAAATGGGATGCTTGGATTAGAGTTTATCTCTCAGTTTCTATCATGCATAAGGAATTTAGACTTACCATGAAAGACATTCAATGCCCGGACTAACAAATTGAATAGTCTTTCTTTTCCTCAGAACAGGCAATTCTGAGACTCAACAGGGCTTAGACACTCGTTTGTTGGGGTTTAAAATAGAATAATACTGTTAGGTGAAGGAGTTTGGGGGGGAGATGGTTGGCGTGGAAGAAGCATTGGCATGTGGTTTGGGAATCCATTTTCCAGGGAAACCAACCCTAAAAGCCCATAGATGGGAAAATAGTCCACAACTGATGGAAACAGAAGCCAGACCAGACACTCAAAATTATTAGGTAAAGCAATCCATCGATCCGAACAGCTCGAAATGTACAACTGCGTAGTGCAAGCAAGTAACATCACAGTATGTTAATTAGAACAAAAAGCAGCACCTGAAGAAAGTAGGCAAGACAGTACATGACAAGGTCTCCAGCATCTGGGTTGAGATCCAAAGTTGCAGACTTTTCGAGTTCTTATTGCTTTGTGGAAAGTGTTGATTAGCTACTGGGTCATGGATGGATGGAGACAGGTTGTTTTAGACATTTGGTGGTGGCCAAATCTTAGCAAACAGCTCCTCCACTCGGTTTGCTTGAATGGCATACCCATCAAGTCCAGTAGCCAGAAGCTCCACAGCTGCAGGTCCCATGGCTGATGCCAGGCTAAGTTGGTCCCACTTCACAAGCTGCATTTACAAAGGGGATGATGACTTGGATTAGAAGAAATGAAAAACGTGAATGTAAGATGGTCCCTTTATTCTGAACATCTTGGAGTCAATTTTTGCATTACTGGTCACTGAACTTTAGACGGTCACCAACAATCTGTCACTGAACTTTGATTTTTCATTAACTTAGTTACTGATACTTCGAATGCTTAACAATATAATCACTCCCTCCGTCTTCCTAAAGGTTTTCGTCCAAATTGTTTAAATGAACTTGTCAACTCACCCAACTTAATAAATGAAAAAAGGTCGCATAATGAGAGTTCGAGTTGGATCGAGTATCGAGTTTGGTTATATTAAGCTGTCAATCTTAGCTTATTCCGGCCTATGTGGCCAATCTTAGTGAAGAATATTCAAAACTTTAGTGAAGAATATTAAAGAAGTAACAATTTTGTCAGTGACCATTTGTGTATTGACCCAATTACCCAAACATACTGTGTGGCCACTGACCATAAGATTGTTTTAGTCCCTTCTAACGAATGTAATATCTGCTCTCTTGAAGGTAAGTGAGTTTTGTTTTCTTCCTTAGGTTCTAAGAAATTTTCAGTAAAGAAAAAGAATAGAGAGTGGGAGGATGACAGACCTCTTCTTCCTTGAAACTATAGTTGGCTGCAGATTGTGGGGATAGCCTCTGAACAAAACCATACTTGCCATCAGGAGTGCTGACAGACTCCTTAAGAGATGATAGTACCTTCAAAGGTGCAATTATATAGTCAACCCTGAAATGCAATGCAACCAATCAAGTTTAGTATATCGTTTCGAATTTCACATTCTTAAACAACTATTAACTCATGACTCATGAGTTACCCCAGGAGGCTGAATAGATCCTGTTTGTTACGAACTGCTGCTGCCATCAACTTCGACTTATGTCCATACTTGTGGATGTAGTTATACGTCTTGGTCACCTGAAATCAGAAACAACAGTCCATTATGGTCTGATAAGTTAACCACGCCTCCGGGTGAATATAAAAGTCATTTCATTCAGCAACTTCTGGAAACTATGCAATTATATTGGATATCATATGACTAAGTGAGCAAACATAATAAATGAGCTGTGTGACTAACCAAAGCCAAGCCAGGATCCTCTCCTCTTTTCAGGGCAGCTTCTATCTCAGGATCGCCAGAATGGTTTCGAGCCCAATCCTGAAGTTAATGACAGGTTTGGTTCATCTCAACGGTGAAAAAGATATATACTGAACAGTTTTCTCAAAAAGAATAGTCAGTGAATGAGAATGGTGATTACCCTCAGCCGTCCAACAAAAATCTGGATGACAGATGCACCAGCTTGGGCAGCAGCAGCAGCTTGAGCAAAACTAAGACATAACAGTACACAAAATTATAATTATTGAAGGTGACAAATGGTCGAAGATCGTTGTAAATGGAAACGTGTTCACAATGTATATACCTGTATACAAATGTCAGATGCGTTTGAATGCCCTCTGATTCCAACAGCCTAGCTGCCTCAATGCCCTATCAGAAAGATCAAGCGATTGTCCACATGAAAAGAACCATCTCTTTTCTAGCAAACCATAATTTCCTCAAACAGCATAGCATGGACACTAACTTGCCAGGTTGCTGGAATTTTGAATAGCAAGCGGTCTTCAGTTACATTAATTTCATTGTACAGCTTCAACAAGTCATGCACCTGCACAATAGATACACAAACCAGCATCAGCGCCCTACTCAGAAAGAAATCAATAAGTTAGAACTATTAGGCTGAAATAAGTCAGGAAACCCCATCAGAGATACAGAAAACTTGCGAGAAAGGCATTACGTACCTTCCTGATTATAGCATGGGTGTCGTAAGCCAACCGGGCATCCACTTCAGTTGAAACCCTGCCAGGTACCATTTTGGCTAGATCCCCTCCAACATTCACTAAAGCCTATATGAACAAATAACCAGAATTTACAGCTAATCATATATTTGACCAACAAAGACTCAACATATGATGGACTACACAATCCTATATAATAAAACATTAGCTGATCGAATCGAGATGAACCTACCTTGTTCGCAAAACAGGATAATCTAAGTTCCTGGTTTTCCAAAGCTGAACACCCGGAATCTGCCAAAGCCATATCCACAGCATTCTACGAAACCCCACAAATTTAAGTCAATTATGCAAGCAGCAAAACAACAAGCTGTCTAGAGGAGGGGGATGGGAGGAATCAACACTCAGTATCTAATTAAAGTTCCAAAGGATGTGCTCACCCTGAAAATGGTATCAGGAAGGCTGCAAATACCTAGGAGAAGCGATGAGCTAACAGTTGCCGCAGTTGGAGGAAACCTGTAACGGTCAAAGCAGTGCTTAATGAGTTAGCTAAACAAACCACTAACTCTACACACTGCCAGGAATTAATGGAAGATCATAGATATACTTCTCGAAATCATCGAAGATGACAGTATCAGGAACAATCTCACTGAATCCAGAAACTGCATCCAGTTCACTAGTACTGGGCGAACCTACAAAAATTAAAACGAACAAACAAAAGAACCCACATGAAATCAATCACACTCGAGTTAAAGCAGGGGAAGTAAGAATTTCTGATAAAGGCGAAAACTTTACCGGTGTGAAGTGGAGGAGATGAGCCGGCGGCGGAGGCGCGAATCCGTGGGAAGGAGCGGCGGAGCTGGAAGAGCGAAGCTGGAGATGATGCTGCGGCGGGCAACTTAGGTATCTGGGTATTAAGTTCAAGCTCGATTTGAGAATGCCCATGCCCGCCATAGATAAGCTAAAGCAAATCATTACCTGGACAAGTCGCGATTTGGAGGTAAGAGTTGCAGAAGAGGCGGGCGGAGACTGCAAGGTGACGACTCCCATTTTTTCTTCTCTTCTAGAACTGATGTGGCAAACTGTGATGAAAAGGATTTTCTCGCTGTTATATACACGAGGAAGACGAAGTCCCAAATAAAACAAATTAAAGGAAAGTATATTCAAAGTCTAACAGAGACCTGGCTTTATCTTCATCAAAATTAAATGACAAAAACGGGAAAATGGGTGATACTATCCATGACGATCAGTAACCTTTTCTCACATGCTCCGTCAACCCTTTTCGATCCAGATAAAAATATATTGGAAGACTGTTCATTTTGAAAATAGAAAGATTATTATTCATCGTAATAATGAAATTGATTCGCTTCAAGATTCTATCAAAGTCTTGTTTTATCCGTTTGAAGCATCCAAGCTTGTCATTTTGAACGGCTTATGTATTTTCCAGTTTGGAAGTTGGAGTTGAATCCACATGGTTTTCTTGTTCCTTGCGTGGGCTTGGTCTATTGAGTCTTTTCATTCGACAAGCCCCATCTCGTGATCTCAACCATGTTAATTCTATCAAGATGGAAATTGGCAAGATGTAGAATAAGAACATCAGTACATATTACGTGATGGTTAATCACTTGATTTTTTAATCATGGGTTAAGAGTTTGATAGGAAATAAGATTTAGTATGTAATTGGTCATTTTCCTCTTTATATGAACACTAAATAAAAACCAAGGTTACATTTTTATTGACTCAAATCGTGCAAGACAAATACTGCCATGTTACATTGAATAAAAGCTGTAGAACAAAATTCCATGGTAATAAACAAACAAAAAAATTGAGAGGGAACTACAGTTATAAACGTAGAGAAGGCATAGCCAGTAGTGGCTTGCGCCAATATTAGCCAGCTGCACGCATCATACTCTATAGAATGTGAAAGAACAGAGAGCTAAAACAACAGAGCAAACTAGTTGGCTGCCCTGCAAAAAAGAAAACTCTTTTATTTGCATGCAGCTCCACTACTAAATTGTTCTTCTGTTCATCTTTCCTCCACTCCCACCACCTTCAAGCAGCCTCTTCCATACCACTAGGGAATTCAAAAATCTCATTACCTGTATATATTTCCCCCAAGAAACAACATTCATTCAATTCACCAGAGTAATATAAAGTACCATTTTGCCAACAGAGAGTTTGTAGTTTGTTCTTAATTACCTCAGTAGGATCTCTGAGGGAGTAGAAAGCACTGCTCTCTTTAGCTACAGAGGAGACAAGAATCCCATACCCTCTCTTCCCTTGCCTCAAGACCTTGAATGCATCTTCATCCGTCCGGTCATCCCCTATGTAGATCGGCAGTACATTTTCAACATCGCTCAGATCAAGAGACTCCAACAGAAACTCAACAGCTTTCCCTTTATCCCATTCGATCTCTGGGCGGACTTCTAAAACCTGAAGCAAGCGTATTCATCCATCATACAACATTCAATGTCAAAGGGGAAATTGGACAAAACAAGAGACAAAAAGACTGATATCTTTTCTTTTTCTTACCTTCCGCCCGTGAGTTAATCGCAAGCGAGGATAGTCCTTTAAGATATCATGAACGCGTTGAGCAATTGTAGGCCAATTCTGGACAATCAATCATACCCAAATATAAAAGTCTGTCTTTTGATTGAACAAGCAAAGTGTCTAAGAAACTTTTAATGGCATTGTCAGTTTTACCTTTTCATCTACGTTACGATAATGTACAGAGGTACAGAACTTGTGGTTCTCAACTTTCGAACCTTTTATATCTTTCGTATTCTCGACAAGGGTTCTAAAAACCTGCAAGCATCCAACACATCACCACAAAGTTTTTTTACTTTCATTATCAAGAAAAGAATGTTGAGTTCATTTATTCAAATCTCAGCTTCCTGACTTGCTCACCTCATCGATCATGGAAATGAATTCTCTGGCGGGCTGGAAAAGGTTCACCTCCTTGCCCTGTTGAGATTTAGAGTGTCAAAAACAATAAACAACAAAGATCAATCGGAAAACCAAATCAGTATAGCTAACTACTATTTCAAACTACCTGTTGGTCAGTAGTAGATTCAACACAAGAGTTCAGATGGTGGTCAGTGGGCACTGTTTGGATGGTAGGACCCATGATGTCCATCCCATGACTACCGGCATAGTAGAGCTCTCTTAGTCCTACCAACTCATAAACCTGGATTTAATACACGCAGTAGGGCAAGGCATCACATCACATTCAAACAGAACAACAGACTTGTAAAAGAAGGTACTGAAATGGAAAATAATACTTCGTACACCTACCTTGTCACGGCTCCTTCCACTGATAATGGCTGTTGGGAAATACTTTGCTACGTTTCTTACAGCAGAACGCATCTAGATAAACATTGACATCTCAACATCAGAAAATCAAACAACAAAATAGTGGAAAGAAATAAATAATCTGGTGAAACAGGAAGCTGATAATTAACCTCCTCTGACATTAGAGCTTGATCTGGGTCGTCCACTATTGGAGATAGTGTTCCATCATAATCTAAAAACACTGCTATCTTCTTGTTCCTTGCAGAATGGGTAATGTGCTCAAATGAACTTAATGCCGATGGATACTTGAGCTGCATAACATCACAAACCAGGGTTCTTTACAATCTACCATGACCCTAAACATTCAGCTTACCAATTTAGGAGGTGATGCTATATAACATTCTTACCATCCAGGAGCAGTATGCAAAGTCAGGATCTTCAGCTGCGGTGCTGAAACCCTTGATGAATTTCTTGCGAGGAGGTGATGATGATTTCATGGCATCAAGCCATCCATTGGATCGAACGTCGTCAAGCTTCCCTATCTTTTTCCTAGGGATGTTGATGTACTTCCCAGAGGAGAATGAAGGCAGACCGGTATGGATACCAAGTCTCTTGTTTATTGGAGATGGATCAGTGAGAACTGGAGAGGAACTACTTGATTTCATCTCCATTTAAGGCCACAGACTCTTTTTTTGTGATCTAGTTATAGAGAGTTAGGTGTATGAAAAAGCACTCTGAAAGATCAATCTGCCCTCGGTATTGTTTACCCTACCCTCTTGTCAATGAAAAACCACCTCTTCAATGTTTTCTTGTCACTGCAACTGGGAGAGCTATCCATCAAGCGCAGACTTCCCGAAAACTGATAAGATGGCTCACAGAGTTAAAACTGCTATAAGCTGAAGGCGTTTAGACATATATAGCAATATCAGAAATTCATTTTACCTTTTCATCTCCAAAGCTGCACCACATTTATAGCAAGCGGGTAAAGTTGAACATTATTTGTCAAAAAAGATTGTTGAGAGAAAAAAATGACTTTTGCTGGCCAATCTGCACTTCCGTATCTGCCTTGAACAAAAACAATATACAAAGAACCATTTAGTCACGGCAAGATTTGCTTTCTAATTTCTAAACCACAGTCAAAGTACGGTACTTCGGTTGACACAGACTGCAAGAAAGAACAGAAACCCAGATTCAAACAGGGGAGAAAACATAAAGAAACTACGAGTCTACCAGCGATGCAAAAAAATCCCAGAAACTTGACTAGAAAAAGGGGCAAGGATAAATGCAAGTATTCGTGAGCAGAGGAAAGAGACAAGTATTCCAGAACAAAGATAAGGCCATAGGGACCACTTCTTAAACGGCTGCAAGAAGACTGCAGAATATTGACCTGAGAATTGTAGACTATCAATAGATACTGAACAAAAAAGATGGCCTCGCTGCAGTTAAATAGCTGCTGTAACATTCTAAGCCACAGAAGCAATTGCAGGGTCTGCAAACTGAATCAACTTAGAAGCTCTCACTATCAAAACAAGCAAAGATACAGAGATCAAGTAGACCTTAAAAAGGTTTCCAAAAAGAGAAAAAGTAGACCTTGAACAGGAATTAACATTTGAACAAGTTTGCCATTGAAACTTGAAAGGAAAGATCCCACTGTTCCTTTCACAGGACATGGATTCCTGATTAAACACAAAAAGCTACAACCCTTATAACAAGTTGGCATAGTTCATCAGTCTCCTGTTTTCCTGGCCAGCAGTTGCAAATTGCAATTACATATTTAGAGGCAGATCATTTAAATGCAAGCCACAGTAGTATTAGATCTAATAAGGCAACATTAGCATATTTTAAACCAAGTGGCTACAATATAAGTACCATCGTTATCCACTCCTGCCGCATTATAAACCCACTTAAAGGTAACTAATACTTTTGATTATCCCAAACTACAGTCCTTCACCCAAGAAACTGTTTTACTTGGGGCAGAGGACTTCTTCATCTTGGATAAATATAATACAAAAGGCCATCCCCTAACCCCATTCGGCATTCGCTAACGTGAATGAATTAATGAACAATGTTGCAGTTTAAAACATTGCATCGGCATTCATGTTGCATTATTAAACTCAGTTTGCACATGTAACAACATGCGGACAGAAGGTCCAACTATGTAGCTCTCTCTCCTAACTTCGAAGGAGTTACTTCACCTGTAGATCTAATTAAATTATTGTCAGAAGTACGCATTTTTTAGCCTTAAAAAACAAAGAAGAAACCAATTAATAATGACAATTCAGGAGAAACACAAACAACTCGGTCCACCATACTGACAAGACACTGCAACTACCAAAACGACCGTAAAAAATCCCACCTCCCTCAACTACAAGAGAACAGAGGAAAATGAAAAGCCAACACGTATACAGAAAAGAACAACAGAAACATATTAAAACCCTCATGTACCCAGATCACCTTCTGATTAATATGTGAGATTGCATATTAGACCATGCATCTCCAGATCAATGAAGTTTTGATGAGCAACACGTATAGTACTATACTGTGCTAAATACTTATATATTTCCGAATTGCCTCAGCCGATCAGTTAAAAATGTAACACATGTCCAAGGAAATTTCTTAAATCTTTGTTTTCTCCGGTCAACATGGAATCGTCCATGTTACAACAAGGTTTAGATTTTTCGTCTTTCGAATCCCAAAATTTGTTCCTCGGAGTTTAATATGTGCGTTAAGGTATTTTTTGGATTGGTGCCAAAATCCCATTATTGTACCCATGTCAAGTACATTCTAATCAATCGATGGGTGACATCGATCGGAAGAAAGGGATTAAGAGCGATTGAGAAATCAGGTCGGCCATAACCATAAAACAAAGAACTTTTTTGCTTCTGTTGGCAGCCAGCTGATGAGAACCGACAAACCCAAAAAAGGGAATCGCTGTAGAATAATATTGCGGACGACCCAATGAGACGTCAAGATCAGATTCCATACACACACAAAAGCGACCCACGACTACAGAGTAACAGAGACATTTCATCAAACACCTTGGGTGCCCAATGGAAAGTCGGCTCCACGAACAGCCCAGGCTTTGCATGACGAATCGTAATGGGTAAAAACAAGATAAAGAAAGAAAGACACACCGCACAGGAATTAGAATAGATCTCGGAACACTGATCTCATCAGAAAGAGAAGATTCGATCTTTTACGTCGACGATTGTCGAGGGTTACTCCGTCATTGTGAAAGCCAATCAGGGTTCTTGAAAAGAAAAGGGGAAAAAAAAACAGAGCTAGCAATAGAAAGGGGGAATTAAAACGTTGTACCTGAATGATCCAGGTGGAAACGGTTGTTCTAGCAACTGCCAGCCGGCCACCGGGAAAACGCAGGAAGCGGCGGGAGACCCTTTCTGTGATTGGAGAATTGGCGGAGGGTTAGGGAGATAAATGGGATTTGATGATTGGAGGAACAAATTACGAAGCAGAGGAGGAAGAGAGAAAGAGAGGAGAGGGAAGGGGAAAAGGGAGAGAAAAAAGGGTATTTATAGAGTCTGTGAGGAAATAGGCAGGTGGTGGTGGTGGCGGGGAAGGGGAAGGGAGAAGAAGTGTTGAAGAAGGCAACTCTCACTGTCTCTGTTTTAGTGTTTTATAATTTATATTTAACCCCTTTGCCTTGCTGCTGCTGCTTGTTGAATCACTTGAGGAAACACTACCTAGTTTCAGTTACTACCACACCTCCAATTACTGATTTGATTTGATTTGATTTGATTTTGTGAAAAAAGAGCAAAGTTTTGGAGTAATAATCTGACTTATTAATTAATGGGTTTGGATTTTGGAAATTTCCAACATGTCATGTATAATTACACTGGGTTAAAGAAAAATACTAACATTAGCACGATTACTAAATGTCCAAATAAGTAAATCGAAGTTGTGGACAGCTTGTTACAGATTGTTGTGATTTAGATATGAATTGAATGTACGTGATTACTATAGAATAGTACTTCATACTCTAATTCTCAAAATCGATTTAACATCGTTCATGTAAGATTTTAATTTTACTTTAGTGGTGTTGTCGTATCCAACATCGGCCAGATTAATTTGATTACAGAGGATTAAAGAAAGTTTTAAACACATTGATACAAAATTCTGAAAGACGAGACATATATGCAATCAAGGTAGATCATACCCGGAAAATACTACCAACTTTTATAAACCTTTTCTAGTTAGGCCCAGGCACCGACCAGCAATTCCATAGTTTTTTCCAGCTTTTCCATTAATGAAAAGAAGTTTCTTGTGAATATTTTTATGGCACTTTCTTGTGAATATTCATTTTCCCTTTTCCGTGAAATTTCATGGCTGTCCTTTTTTTTTTTATGTATGTACTTTTTCTTTATGAAATATGTATCGCATGTACCTTTTCGGTTTATTGGTTTAACTTTCAGTTTTTCTTTTCTACATCGGAAAAATTTAGTGCGTCTGATCTTGAGGGTACTATCACTAATAAGGATATTATAGTAACTACAATTATAATAAACTTTTGCACTTTGTTATGGTGACATATATCTCACCGTAACTTGTACTTTTAGGTCGACCTAATCTGCCGTTTCAGTCTTGTGTTAGAAGGCAGCTTACTTCATAGCAACTTCGAGCCTTTTGTTTGAAGCCTTCCAGATATCCAATATTTCATTCAATGCCTTGACTTTGTAGACAAACATACCTACTATCATGTGGTAGAGGCCCCCTGGACTCGAATCTCATCTATGCGTCTCGAATTGAGCTCCAAAGTAGGCTTCACAGACACTTTCCCAGACTTAACCATTTTCGGGCAGTTTCCCAGTTTTGGCATAGCCTTTTGATCAGGTTCAAAAATGGTCTTCTGGACTTCCTATCGAGCCCCCAAACAAGCCATTAACCTCCAATTTCCATTAAGCCAATTGTAAGATATGAATCTCCAAGGTAGGCACCATGAAACTATTTTTACACTTAAACAACATATTAGGTCGACCTAATCCTAATTGAAATCGGCCAAAAAGTGCAAGTTACGGTGACATGCATATCACCATAGATGCACCCCAAACTTCTTATCCTTACTTTTCGCCTTCTCTTCTCTCTATGTATTTTTTTATATATATACAAATTAGAGTTTTGATACCTGAACTTAACATATCTTAATATTTAGTGTCTAAAATTAATTCTTTTACATTGAAACCCTAACATATCAATGAGAAATTATATTTTAGTACCTAACACTTTTGTATCTTGCATTTTAATACCTAAATTTTTAAAATGTACAAATAGGTTCATTGTTACGAAACTTTTGATATCGCTAAACAAAACTTGTAATATGCTTTATGGGGTTGTGGTGTGGTTTATAAGACTTGTAGTCTACTTTAAAATATTTGTAGTGTGTTGAGATTGTGGTTTCCTTTCTAAAGTTTGCAGTCTGGATTTCGTGGTATGCTTTAAGAAAATTGTTGTAGCTTTTATAAACTTGTGATGTTGTTAGGTTGTGGTCTCCTTTCTAAGGTTTGTGTTTTTTATGTGGTGGGGTTTCTTGTCTTTGTGGTATGCTTCATGAGATCTGTAGTATGTTTTTATAAACTTGTGGTGTGGTGAGGTTGTGGTCTCCTAAGGATGACTACGGGTTGGGTCGGGGTCGGATAGCACATATTAATTATCCTACACAAAATACTTCGATATTTACCCATTCTCCTACCCATACAAGAATCGGGCAATAAACCAAAATTATACCCATACCCAATTGGATTTCGAGTATATGCGGTTATCAATGGATAATAATTTTTCTTAATAAGTTCAACCAACATGTTAACAATTACACATATATTGGCATTACTTGAGTGACAAATTACAACAATAATTACTAAAATGAAGAAAATTGGTTATAAACAATATAATTTCATGAACATATTTTATATGTATGATAAACATCAAATATGTTGAGAAACATATTAATAATTTTTAAGCAAAATACATATGCATTTTTATCCATGTCCACTCATCACTCGCAATATTCAGGTTCGGATTTTACTTGTACTCATAAAAAACTTTCGATTTTGAGTTTTACCCAACCTAATTATGTCAAATTCGGACAGGTATCTGCGGATTATTCCTATAATCTCCTTTCGAAGAATTTTTTTTTTTTTTTGTGTGCGATTTCTTGTGTTTGTAGTCACCCCTCCCTCCTCCCATTTAATGCACAAGACAAGCTTCACAAGCGAGTTCATCCGTGGCTTGTCCCGCATAAATTATTATTAGCTCATTTAAATAAAAAGTCATTAAAACCAAATGATCTTATTGGATGGTAAAAGTGCTAAGACCGTACTAAAAATAAAATTAGCATCTTAATTTCTTAACCAATTTCCCCATCTCGATTATGTCATCTATTTTTTGTTTTGGCGAAATTTCCGTTTCATGTTCCTTGATAAATAAATGCAGGTGTGTGGCAAGTGCACATAACCCGGGAGATATACCAAATACAAGCATTCCTAACTCTGCCTCTTCCACACGCCCATGTTCATGCGTTCCACACATTTTTACACTTAGGAATCAACTCCAAAGAAAAAGAAAAGAAAAAAACTCTAATCAATGGACTAAATAGTAGTTGGAGGGTCACTAGTAGAATTTTTCAAAATGAAAAAGAGAGAATACTCCCGACTATCTAAGCTCATAACCTAAATTCTTGAATTTGGTTGCCCCACAGAAAACCCTCAACTTAGATTTATTTGTGATGTAACACCTTATAGATCAATAAACCAGTGTTGTAGCACCTTACTTTAACTTCCGTGAGTCGAATCTATGGTTCAACCATGCAGAAGAAATAAATTTATAGGATGTTTTTCTTATAGGGCGAAATCAATTAACAAGCTTAATTACAAAGGACAGAAAACAAACTAAACAAGTAGAGAGAGGGTGGGGACTTTTTTAAGAACTAATGTATTTGAGGAAAAATTCACTCTAAATGGACTTAGGGGTCGTTTGGAAGTTGCGATAGTTTTGTTGAGATTGTCATTATGCATGTATTGTTTACAATGCATCGTTTTTTGTTTTTTAGCATAAACAATACATGGATTGTTTCTGTGATGTGACAGAAACTATCACTCATTTTGAGTGATTGTTATATCTCAACTTTTAGTTGTGATTGTAGAGATTGTTGAGATAGTTGAGATTGTTTTGTCTCAGCTTTTAGCTGATGCGACATACACAATCACACATACCAAACATTGTATTCTACAATGCATCAAATTCGACAATACATGTATAATATTATACATGCATTCTCAACAATACATCTATTTAACAATCGCAACTTCCAAACGACCCCTTTAGTGTCAGCGAAGGGCCTAGCCAATTCGGCAATAGCACTTATAGGTTTGGCGATAACGACATCGTTTTCATGCATGAATGTTGTGGTTTTGGTCAAGCGGATTCAGAATTCTATATATCTCAGGATGCAGGGACTCGGGCGGCCGTGTACATTTTTACTAGACTTAGTTTTGCTATAGCTACAGGAGTGGGCCCCAAATTGTATCTCGGCTACCCACTAATTTTTTTGGACGGCTAAATGTCGCCCTAGATTTACTAGAATCGCCTTAACTTAAAATGTAAAATTACTGAACTATCCTTTATTAATAAAAAAAAGTTCAACAAACAAATAACCCCTAAAATGGATAGTTCTCTTCATCTTTGTTGATAAGGATCTCCAAACGTCTGTCCGCCGTCGACTTTCTAGAGATTCTTTATTCACCGGTGATACAATCCACCAACGGCGGCCGACCTCCTCATTTCCAAACGACCCTCTATCGCCATTCCTTCTCCCCAACTACGTGTTACGTTCGCCAACGGCTACGCTGCTAGAATGAACCACTGTTCTTCATCGAATGTTAGATTGGAAATTACATCATGACGACTTATGTATTCAATCCCCAATTCTCTAGAGCCTCGTTGGATCTCCCCATCTCTCGGTAGTGGAAAATAATTGCATAAAGGGGAAATTAATTGATATCAACAGGCTTAATTTAATCTTCCCAAAATTATGTTGGTGATGAATCCCTAGTTATAATCACGTCTGTCTCTTCTCAACATGTGTGACTCTTTTCCCTCTCCCTGCTGCGGTGCAATATGAGGATGGCACTGAGATGAAACTTAGCGGGAGCTCCAGACCGACCTAAGAGGATGGCGGCGGCAAGCGGCGGCGGAATAAGGGGCCGGTGACCGGATGGTTAATGTCAACCGTCAATTTTTGTGTTTGTTGAATGATTTTTTTATTGGAATAAAAAATATATCATAACAATAAAAGAGATATAAGGATAAAGAGGTAATTTTAACTCATAATTTAGGGTGATTATTATAAACTTAGGACGACAATTAGAAACTCTCTAATTTTTTTGTAGACCTTTGTTTGTGCTGCTTCCGCTCATCTTACTTTAATTTATAATAATAATAATAATAATAATTTTCATATTTCTGCAGCTCAATATTTCACCATATTGTCAAATATTTTTTATGTGACATTTATTATAAAAAAAACCTGGATTTCATTCGAAGTAATCCAAACCCTCTCATAATTAATGGCCAGTTGGTTGGAGCAAATGATCACGTACGAAATAT